CACACACACACACACACACACACAAACACACACCACCACCACCAAAAAAACACTCTTACCCTTATCTTTATACAAGTGATCCAAGCTAAATAGAAATCCTGGGGTGTGTATACTGGATCAACTGCAAAAGTCAGGGCAGAAACGTGTTGTTTTCACAGTTTCAGTGTGTGCAGCTGTCTGTTGTTCTACTTGCCATCAAAATTGTGTGTGTATGTGTGTTTTCATGCTAACATCGTGTGCACTCTGTCAAACAGGTGAGAAACATGCATCAATAACAGGCTTCTGAAAATATGAATCAGTGCATATAAAATACTGGCATACTTGCATTGAAGTATTTATGATGTAGTGGTATGTTGGTATACTTTTAACAAGTAATCACTAAAAGCTCTGTAATGTTTGTTTATATGATTTTCAGCTCATTTTATTTGCATTGAGATTTTCAGATTTCTTTTTAATATGAACCCAGATGAATGAATTCTCTTTTACTCTCATTTCAGTTTTGCGTGAAAAGAAATCATTGAATGTAGTTTTTATATTTTCAACTGACTCGACTTTTGGTAAGAACTAAAAAACCAGAACACTGGCAATAAATGTGTATTCTGTGCATTTCATTTTTCTTTCCTTCATTATTTTTTGATTACTGTTACTTTCAAATTCCATTTCAAATTTAATTTATGAAAACACCTACTTGTCTCAGAAGACTGATTTACGATAAACTACATATCTGGATTTCAGCTAAGCAGTTTGCTGTTTCTCTTTCAAAATAGGAAGGAAATGAATAACAAAACTAAAAGGATGCTTTATACCACAAACATTACAAACAACTAGGTTAAACTCAGACTTAAAATAGACTGAGAGTAAACTGCGGGAATCACATGGGAAATTTAACATCACTGTTTGAAGGAACTATTGGGGGGGGGTAATGGAAAATGAGGGAAGCCCTTTTCTCAATGCACTGCTTCCCCTTCTGTTCACAGTTCATGACAGGCTCAGCTCTTTCTTTTTCATAGAGGAAGTAAGCTTATTAATGACCTGCCTCACAAACTGGGCACTTTTTGTCTTGCAGTTTAGCTCTTAGTGTTTAAGGCTGTCCTGACCTTGTCTGCAGAAGTTTCCTCTTTCTGCAGACAATCATCAGGAGACACTGAAGCCAGAATGAATCCCATCTTGTCCTGCTAGATCGCACTTGGGCAAAATAAGACCCGAAGGCTGGAAAACAAACACATACAATCTCAACAAGGTCCAAGAACTCCTTAAAGCAAAACTGAGCAACAAGAACAACAACAACAACAAAAAATTAATAATACAAAATATTATGTCACTTACTGCAGCAGAGAAAAACTAAAATATATTAGAGTTCTCTGCAGACAGATAAACACCTGACTATATTTTACTGGTCTTCCAAAGAAAGTCTTAATTATACCCACACGGCTAAACGAATCATGTTTTTATGACACACTGTAATTTGGAAATAGTTCACAGATGTGTAATAATAGAAGCTGAATTTAAAATAGCCGGGAAATGATATCATGAAATGACTCTACTGATCAAGACATGTGTTTAAAAATAGTAAATATAAGATAATCATAATCAGAATACTTTATTAATCACAAAGGAAACTATGTGGTTACAGTGGCTCTAAGACAATAACAGCAATAGATTGAAATACATTAAATAACACAATACATTACAAAGTTTACAATATATAAGAAATAGCTTTAATATATACAAATGGCTCAGTTATAAATATTCAGAATATTACAGAAGTGAAATATATATGATTGACAATGTCTTTTTTGTGTGATGCAGATCTGAAAGTTTCCATTTTTATGTTTAAGTAAAAATATTTTTCAGTGATTGATACAGGCATGTACTCAGATGGTAAACAAGTGGATTATTTGCTGTCAGTGCACCATTCTCTTTCGCTCTCTCAATCTCTCAGACACCCACACCCACAAACAAACAAACAAACACACACAAACAACATTTTCAAATTGAAAGTTCTTAGTTTTGTTTTCTTCTTCTTTAGTCAGATCCATATTTATTTTAAATCAACCCTCTACACCAAATCCTCGCTCTGGTGTTAATACTTTGCATTATACACCTGCTTTTGCAACATATTACACACACATTTCTGTTGATAAGCAGATAGAGCAAGTTTATCCAGTTACTGAATTACAAGCATGTCTTAAATCTAAACAAGCACGCGTGAGTGCCTGTGCAAAAGCAGAAGTTGGAGCATTCAATGCCACAATCCCAGGCGTGGACATCCTACCAAATTCACCCCAAGCCACAGAATGCTCGGTGAAACTGCAAAAAACCCAAGAGCTACACCTCTACAGGCCTCATTTAGAATGTTAAATATTAACGTTCATGGCAGTACAATTAGAAAAAGGCTGAACAAACCACAGGAGTTGAGGAACAATGTCCGTTGGTGCAGATGTGCAGATGTCTGACCATAATACAAAGCGCATCAGTGGAAAGAACTTGCAGGAACTGTCAAGCACGGTGGTTGAGGGGTGATGATTTGGGCTTGTTTTGCAGTTACAGGACTCCTCTGAGTATTCTAGAGTCAAACTTGAGGCTGTGATCCCAAGCACACTAGCAAATTTATAACAAAATGACCGAAGAAGAAAAGAATTTAGGTGTAGCAGTGGTCCAGTCAAAGTCCAGACCTCAAGCAGATTGAAATGCTGCCGTGGGACCTTAACATAGCTGTGCACTAAAGAAATGCCTGCAAACTTCATGTTCATGTGCTTAGTTTTCACAAAACAGAATCCTGTGACAGACTTCTTTTTCTCGTGACTGTATGTGTTTACAATAAGCCGAAATCTGGGTTTGCTGTTTATAGAAAAAGTTGAAAAACTGGAAGAAATTCATAGCAAAACTAAAAGGATGCTTAAAACCACAATTGCATGAAACACAAATAGGCTGAGAGTAAATTGTACAAAACGTGGGGGATTTAACATTACTGTTTCAAGAAAATAAGCGAAAACAGGTAATGAAAATGAGGGAAGCCCTTTTCCGACTTCACCCCTTCCCTCCCCACTGACCACATGACAGTTCACAAAGAGCTCAGCATTTTCTTTTTCATAGAGAAGTAAGATTTTTATGACCGGCATCAAAATCAGACCACTTTATTGTCTTGTAGGTTTTATAAGCTCTTAGTGTACATGTCCCTATGAATTTTCAATAGTCTCTTTATGTAGTGACTGTGGTGTGATTGAGACACGGTGGGTCCAGAGGTTGTTACTGAGAGCCATCACACCACACTCCACACATCTTCCCCAACCCTTATTCCCCGTGTTTTAACACAGTGGGCATGATTGCGGATGCCATGCACGTGCGTCCGCACAGCACCGCAGTCCACGCTCCACCACAGTGACATTATATTCTCCTGAGAACCAGCCTTATTTTCTATGTCTTCTATAATGGACATTTGTTTTTGATCTATATCGTTTGACTCATTTGAGGTACCTTACTAAGTCTTGATGTACGAAATAGAGGACATCCTGGGCTTTCCATTGATTTCTCGTGTGTTTGATTAGCTCCAAAGAGGAAGGAAATCACAAAAAGGTGCAGTTTTTTCCACGGTTCTCAGGAGGATATTGCAAAAAGGCCGAAATCTATCATCAACCCTTAACACTAACTTACCTTGAAGACATCAATTGATATAAAAAGGCCAGGATTACAGCGTTGGGTTGATACTCTCCATCATTTAGAGGCTCAAAGGAAATATTGAAAGTACATTTCCATTGCAACATGGATGAAACCCATTTATGCTCAGTTAGAATGTCTAAAAGACAAATGGACCTTAGTCCCCTTTAATTTCCTGCATCTAAATTCAGATACAAATTAAGTTACCACGTTTGGTGATATTGGAAAAAAAAAATCTACAAATCTGTTACTTCCAGTGCACACTGTTACCATACTTCTTTATTATTGCTTTGATTTAATAAAATTCTGAAAAGCCTTCAGCTTGTCCGATGTGCTTTGGAGGGAGTACTTACAGAAACTAAAAACAGAGCTCATAGATCAATGTCTCTGCACTGTCTGAACTATCAGCCTTTGCAAAATGCTATTCTGTTAAGCTAATGAAGTACTTTGTGTGATTTTAAAAGAATTATATAATTAAATAATGCTTATAAAAAGTTATAATAGTAATGTTTTTACAACTTAAACTGCATGGGCAAAAGCACCGAGCCACCCAGTTGACACACAGAAGGAAGGGTTTCCATGGCCTTGAAGCTCCCAGTGCGCAGTTACTGTGCTGATGTTAATAGCAGATGAGGTTTGAAACTCATTTATTTTTATTCATTTAGCACAATGTCGGTGACTTTTGTACTATGTGCCTTGCACTTGGCGACTCCTCTCTCTTTATATGTGACTCTAACTTTATGTGGTCTGCTATGTGCCTGAGTTCCTGTAGTTCAACTTCACAGTATTACCACTTACTACTTACATCATGGGATATGTCTGAGGGAAGAAAATTCACAACATGACTTGTTGCAACAGCGGCATCCTGTTACAGTATCACACTGAAATTCTGTGAATTCTTTAGAAAGACTTATTCTTTCACAAATGTTTGTGAAGGCAGACTGCATGGCTTAATGCTTCATCTTATACCCATGGCAATACGACTGAAAACACCTGAATTCAGAGATTAAGGGCAAGGAAGTAGTACCATAGTTCGAAATGACAAGTGAAAAACTGTAAACCAGAATCAGAATAACTATGTGAAGAGTTAAATAGTTTTACCTAGCTCTCATTTGTTTGCGCAGTTCAAAGAAACTTTAGAGAAGTTTAGCATATCCAGTCTGACTGTGTGAAATGTTTTTATGTAACAGCAGATACTTTAAATAAATGTAGGATAACCTGACGTCTCTCTAGCATTTCCAAATTAAAAGAATCCTAAGGATCCAACATTTTAAATCTTTATACTGTATGTTTAACAAGACTCGGTGAAAAAACACAATGTGTAATTTGATTTATTGTAATCTTTGCTTTATAAAAAAAATACAGTAGATGCAGAAAAAGAAAACCAGCCAAGTATAAATGCATAATTTCACAGTACAAAGTACAAATTTCAAAATCCCCACCATGAAGGTGCATGAAAGGCTGGAGCGTTAGAAGTGAATTAACCTGACCCCACGAAAACATTCGTACCCCGTTTTTGTTATATACAAGTAATCCAAGCTAAATAGAAATCCTGGGGTGTTTCTGCTGTATCGCTGTAAAAGTCAGGTCAGAAACGTGTTGTTTTCAAGACTACAAAGTGTGCAGCTGGCTCTTGTTCTTCTTTCTGCCAACAAAGTGTCCCAGTTGTTTCTATGAACTCTGTCAGACAGGTGAGAAACACAGGCCTGTACTTGTGCTAGAAGCGTCATCAGTGGAGTCTAAAAAGGCCGCACAGGAGAAAGCCAGTCACATTTGGTTACAGCAAGTTAATAACAGATTAATAACCAGCAGCTAGTAAAAAAGCACAGACCAAAAACAGAATTATTATGACTGTCTAGATAAAAACAACCTGTGGCTTCAACAAGCGAATTCACTGAAACCATAACTTAAATGCCAAAGTGAAACTGTCACACAACAAAGAGGTAGGGTGAAACCTCCTGTCAATAAAATTTCTAGGGATAAGAATTTTTCATAGTTTGAAACCAAATGCATATCAGAAATTTCACAAAAACATACCGACTGTGGAAATTTGTCTAAAAAACACTGTGTGAATACCCAAACCTAATTTAAGATCTTACAGAATATCTTTATGTTCCTCTTCAGAGTTGTTCTGAAAATGCATTTTATTTAGCTTAAGCTTGGTTGTTAGTAAAGCTGCCCATTTGAGTTTCCTCCACTGTCTGAAAGATCAATTTTACACAGAGTAAAACAACACAAAAGCAAAGGTAAACTGTTAGAGAAGACACATTGCTCTGTCACAAGATAAAACTTGCTTCTGTACTGACATTTACTGGCTGAAGTTAGGAAATTAGGCAGCAAGACAAATGAAAAACAGGTCTAAGCTAACTCATTAAAATCTAATATTAAAAAACTAAATGTAATATTTGTGTAGAACATTATTTACACATGAACTAAATATATTGTGATGGGTCTCATGTAGCATTACCTGTTGAAGTTTGTCTTACACAGTTTCAACTGGCACACTGGGTTACTGTGAAATGACTCTAGGAACATGTTTTTATATAGTCAATGAATTCTGCACAAAAATAAACCAAAATAATAATCATGTGAGAATTATTTAAATCTGTGATTTTAAAAAATGCTGTGATTTGTACCAAACAGTCAGAAACTGATTTAAGTTGCGTCAAATGTAAAAATTCAGCAGGCATGTATTTTCCGCACTAAAAAACACAAACAAAAAACAATCAGATGCACTTTCCATGGCATCGTACCGTGCAAAACTATATTTGGTCCAATAACGACGGATCAAATTTCAACATGATAACAGATTACTGCTCCGGCTTTCTTTTCTTTTAATCTCAGGTGACTTCCAGTACTGAAGGCACTGAATTCATGTCTGGTTGGGAATTTACCTCAAAATCATTATCAACCCCTTTACAGTTAAGCAATTTTCTGGAATAGAACTTGAATGATTTTGATTTTTACTTGAAGAGACCTTCTGAACCTACCTGAAAGCTGCAAAATACCTCAAACCAGGCAGCACAAATTTCAGTAAAATATCATGAATTCCTAATTATTTAATTTTATTTATTTAAACTGTGTTTTTTTTTTTATTCTTATAAGGGAATGCTGATATCAAAACAGGTACCTTTAAGGAGGATACAAGAAGAAGGACTCAAAAGGATTTAGGATAACATCATTCAAAGATATATATAAATACATATATATTACTATTAAAGAATTCTGGATCTTTTTTTCGTTATATATATATAAAACGAAAAAAAAGATCCAGAAGTCTTTAAATATAATCTGTGTATAGCTACAATTGTTAAATTGCTTTAGCAGTGAGTGTGTGGGTTCCTGACTTGTGCTTTCAAGTGATGCAATTGATGACATCATGGGTGTTTTTTTTTAAATTGGTCTTTTTTTCCATCTTGTTTCCCTGACATTCAGTGAAACTGCTTGTTGTAACTTGTCCACATCATGAGACTGAAATATTCCCTAAAGATGCACAGTCAAAAAGTGTTTGATGCTGATGAAGTGTTTTTCCACCTTTCCCTTTTCCCGAGGTAAATTACTGGACATTTCAGGAATTAAGAAAGTTATGTTTTTATTTATTGTGTAAACTAAACACTGAGCATTGCGGTCAACTTGCCAGAGTGGCAGTTACAGCTCAAACAGATGATTTTTTTAAAAGTAGATGCTTATTCTCATGCTTCCTTTTCTTTTCTGTCTTATCAATTCGTCCATGTTTAAATGACCTAAAAATGGACAGATTTGTGAGTATAGAGTATAGAAATAGATAGACACAAAAGAAAAGCAGTTTACAAGCATGATGATTACAAGTGTGTGTGTGTGTGGGGGGGGGATAGCAAAAAATAAAGACGGCAGTCCTATTTTAGTTTCACAGTGAATGACTTTTTCTGAATCATACAGTCACCACAAGATGCTTAGTGAGAGAGAGAGCGAGACGGCAGAGAGAAAAAAAAACAAAAAGTCCAGACACCATGTGAAACCGAAAGCAAGAACATGAGAATATATAGTGTTTGTGAGTGCCAGTAAAGCATGAAATTATCTTGCTGCGAGTGGCACTACTCCACTACTCACTACTCCTCCAAGGTAAGCCCATGTTACACTAGTTTACAAGAGTCTGAGGGTGTTTGTGTTTTTCTGATAGATATCAATATCTATATCTATATATGTATATATATAGATATTGATATGTGTGTGTGTGTCTGTGTATATATATACATACATACACACACACACACACACACACACACACATATGTGTGTGTGTGTGTGTGTGTGTGTGTGTGTGTGTGTATGT